TTCTCACAAACTCAAGTTTCCCACGACCACGATTGAGCCGTTCAACGTTAGGGTGGCGAATGGCAAGCGTTTGCGGTGCTCGTAGATGTACCGAGGCGTACCGATCAAGTTTCAAGGAGTGACGGTGAAGGCGGATTTGTTTGCCTTGCCTTTGGTGGGGCCAGATGTGGTGCTTGGGGGGGGTGCAGTGGCTCGAGGGACTCAAAGATGTGACGACTAATTACCGAAAGGGTGTGATGAAGTTCGAGGCCAGTGATGAGCTCATTACTTTGAAGGCTAGTGAAGGGGCAACCAAGGAGGTTGGTCTAAAAAGCATTGAGAAGGTGTGGCGAGGTGGCGGACAGTTGTACGCCGTCGTGGTCGAGCAGACGGGCGAGGACGCAGTGGTGACCAAGGAGAGGCAGCGCGAGGTGCGTGACTTGCTCGAGGAATTCGACCAGATCCTCGGTGAGCCCAAGGGATTGCTGCCGCACCGGGAGTTCGACCACCGCATACCTTTGGTCGAGGAGGGTCGAGCAGTGCACGTGCATCCCTATAGGTACGCGCACTTTCAGAAGGCGGAGATCGAGCGGCAGGTGGGCGAGATGCTCAAGTTCGGACTCATCCAGCGTAACACGAGCCCGTTCTCTTCACCGGTGCTGCTCGCGAAGAAGAAAGACGGCACGTGGCGGTTCTGCGCGGACTACCGCGCTCTCAATGCAGCTACCGTGAAGTATCGCTTTCCCATTCCAAGCGTCGACGACATGCTGGACGAGTTGGGTGGCGCGTGCTACTTCTCCAAGCTCAACTTGCGCGCAGGCTACCATCAGATCGGGTTGACCAAGGAGGACACGCCCAAGATGGCTTTCCGCACGCACCAAGGGCACTACGAATATCTCGTGATGCTTTTTGGCTTGTGCAATGTGCCGTCGACATTTCAGTTTGCGATAAATTCCATCTTCAAGGAGTACCTTCGTAAATTTGTGTTGGTATTCTTTGATGACATCTTGGTGTATTCGAGGACTTGGGTGGATCATCTTGGGCACTTGCGGGTTGTTTTGGGGATCTTAGAGGCTAACTCGTTCTACATCAAGCCGTCCAAGTGTTCGTTTGCTCAAGAGGTGGTCGAGTACCTTGGGCACTTTATTTCTCATGATGGTGTCACGGTGGATCCAAGGAAGATTGAGACGATGGTGGGTTGGCCGAAACCCACAAGCTTGACGCAGTTGCGAGGGTTCCTTGGTCTCACGGGCTATTATCGGAATTTCATGAAGGACTATGGGACCATCGCGAAGCCACTCACGGAGATGATGAAGAAGGGAGAATTCAAGTGGACGGAGGCGAGCGAGAAGGCTTTCGAGGAGCTAAAGGAGGCCATGACGACCACGCCCGTGCTCGCGATGCCGAAGTTTGATGTATTCTTCGAGATTCACTCGGATGCGAGCGACATTGGGATCGGGGCAGTTCTAGTGCAGGAAGGATGACCCTTGGCCTATCTCAGCAAGGCACTCGGGCCGGCGCGCTTGGGGCTGTCCGCGTACGTGAAGGAGATACTGGCTGTGGTCGAGGTCGTGCGCGTGTAGAGGCCGTTGTAACGCCCCGTTTGATTATGAATTATTGGAGATTATTTATTATTATTATTATTATCATTATATTATATTGTCCTAAAAGATGATATAATGCCCGTTCGATTTAATTTGACTAAGTCGGTCGGAAATTCAGTTTAAATCGGACTAAGGATCGATTTATATCTTCGCGTATTGACCGAACCAAGCCAAAGTCAAACCGGGG